GGAAAGGAGTTTTTAAGCCGCTCTGAGACTCCAAGTGAAGGGTGGGGTATAAATCCAATCTCTTCTTCTTCTTAACAAATATTGTTTAAAAAGCTAGCATGCATGACTTTTATCTCTTGGGTTTTTTGTGGTTTTCTTTACTTTCTCCCATAGTTTATAGATTCCCCTCCCTTGATTTCTTGTAGTTTATTTAGAAAATGCAATACAAAATTCAGCCCTTTGGGGGTTGTTAAAGAGAGAGAGGGGGGGGGGTACTGTCCTCAGGGGTACTGAGTAGGTAGGAGGTGGGATTTATACCCCGTGGCCCTTCACTACCAGAAGGTGTCCCAGAGCAGCTTACAAACTTCTCTCCCTTCCCCTCCCCACAACAGACACCCCCTGTGAGGTAGGCAGGGCTGAGAGAGCTCTGAGAGAAACTGCTCTTTTTCAAGGAAAGCTCTTATGGCTTTCCCAAGGTCATCCAGCCAGGTGCAAGTGGAGGAGTGGGGAATCAAACCCAGTTCTCCCAGATTAGAGTCCGTGCACTTAACCACTACACCGAACTGGCTCTCTGTAAGGTACTGTAAGTATGTTTTATTTGCTATGGCTTTTAGTGGAATCTGAGCCGCAGGTGTCTTCCAGGGGTGGGTGTTCAGGGTTTTATTTTAGAACTGTAAGCTGCCTTGAGTCCCAAGGAAAAGGCCAGACAGAGATACTTTTAATAAATAAAAATGGGAAGTGAGATATTTGCATGTAAATGAGCATCAGGAGTCTCTGTAAACTCTGTATTTGCATTACAAATGAGTTCAAAAGCAAGAGCAGCTTCACGCCTCAAGGAAGGCCCTGCCCTTCGAACTTGGCAACGCTGCGGTTTGTTGACGTTCACGCAGGGCGTCGGGTAGGTTTGCCTCAAGCCCTGAACGTGGCCGCAGAGCCCTCTGGAAGCAGGGCATGGGCCATGCCCTTGCATGACTTGATCTTGGCCACTGCCGTGGGCACCTCATGAGAGCCAGAGAGCGAGCACCTTCGAGGCCCACTGCTCTGGATCATAGAATCATGGAATGTTAGAGTTGGAAGGGACCTTGCAGGTCATCTAGTCCAACCCCCTGCACTCTGCAGGAGCAGAGCCGAAAGAGAGCCCTACAACATACCCGGAAGAGGGTCGTCCAGCCTCTGCTTGGAAACGTCCAGCGAAGGAGCCTCTACCACCTCCCGGGGCAGTCTGTTCTGCCGCTCAACCACCCTTACAGCCAGGAAGTCTCTCCTGATATTGAGCCAGTAACGACTCCCTTGTAATTTCCACCCATTAGATCTAGTCTTGCAATCCAGAGCAAGAGAGAATAGATCCGCTCCATCTTCCACACGACAGCCCTTCAGATACCTGAAGACTGCAATTGTGTCCCCTCTAAGCCTTCTCTTTCCCAGGCTAAACAGACCCAACTCTTTCAGCCTTACCTCCTAAGACTTGGATTCCAACCCTCTCACCATCCTGGTTGCCCTCTTCTGGACACGCTCGCGCTTTTTAGGCTGTTGCGTGGAAGGGACTGGGCCTGTGGCTGTTGCTTACTCCACCAAGAGACAGAGAGGAGGAGGAGGAGGAGGAGGAGGAGGCGGAGAAAAATTGGATTTATACCCAGACCTTCACTTGGAGTTTCAGAGTGGCTTACAATCTCCTTCCCTTCCACTCCCCACAACAGACACCCTGTATGGTAGGTGGGACCAAGAGAGCTCTTTCAAGAACTGCTCTTGAGAGAACAGCTCTGAGAAAACTTTTGACCAACTCAAGGTCACCCAGCAGCTGCATGTGGAGGAGTGGGGAATCAAACCCCATTCTCCAGATTAGAGTCTGCCACTCTTAACCACTACACCAAACTGGTGATACTGGTGTGAGAGAGACACAGAGAGAGCACAAGCTTAAAAAAAATAGAGTGGAACATATTAGCACATACATATCAGTAGCCATTAGTGAATGAAACACCAGTATGAACTTGTCGATTTCTAATAATCATTCATATGGTAAAGTTTATATAATTTCCTTTTATTTATCCTTACAGGGCACCTCCCCCCCCCCATGTTTCTGTTCTCCAAACCGTCCCCTTCCCAAGGTCCTCCCTGCAGCCCGGAGCGTGACTGCTGCCAACCCGCGGGGACATGCGAGGTCCTGTCCTCCAGCCCCTTCTCTGTGGGGCCTGGATGCCCCTCGCCACAGACCAGAGGTCCCCTAAGGAGGAGCTCGTGTGCCTGCTGGAAGCCGGGGCTCCTGCAAAGGCCGCTGGGAGGCCCCTGCTTCAAGCTGCTTCCTCCCCCCAGCCCCACCCCACACAGACACACCCTTCACGGCCTGACTCTCAGCTCCCATCCCTGCCTCTGAGCCCCTGGGGACTTTGCCCCCAAGAGACTGCTCCAAATTTATATAGCACTTTTGTGAGTTCAGACATTATCTTCTGGTGCTTCTGATGACAACCCTGAAAGGTAGGCCAGCACTGTTATGCCTGCACTGCCGGTAGGGGAGGGGCTGAAAGACAGTTTGGTGTCGTGGTTAAGTGCGTGGACTGTAATCTGGGAGAACCCGGTCTGATTCCCCACTCCTCCACTTGCATCTGGCTGGATGACCTTGGGCAAGCCGTAGTTCTGTCAGAGCTGTCCTTGAAAAAGAGCCGTTTCTGTCAAGAGCTCTCTCAGCCCCACCTACCTGCCAGGGTGTCTGTTGTGGGGAGGGGAAGGGGCGCAGTATAAATCCAATCTTTTATTCTTCTTGTGGTTTATCTAAGGCAACCAGAGTGAGTCAGTGATGGAGACAGCATGGCGTAGTGGTTAGAGTGGGGGGGGGGGAGACTGGGATCTGGAGAAGGCAAATTCAACTCCTTTTGAACCACGAAGCTCAATGAATGATCTTGGGACAGACTTTCTGACCCCAGCCTACAAAATGGACAACACGTGAAGCTGCCTTCTGGACCAGAGTTCCCTCTAAGCTGAGTTAATGTGAGCTAGCCCACAGTTTTTTGGCCTCCGGCTCACACGTTGTTATCCTAGCACAGGAAGGAGGACTCCAGAGCAAACCAATGTATGCAGTAGCCAAATCGCTCACTCACAACTTTAATGCCAGCACAGAGTAGAATTTTTGCTCACAAGACTCCACAGCTTAGAGGGAGCCTTGGGATTGAACCTGGGACCTTCTGCAGCCAAGAGGATGCTCTTCTCACTGACCTGTGGTCCGTCTTCACCCTTGATCCATCACGATCAGGACTGTCTACTCAGAATGGTAGCAGCTCTCCAGGGACTCAGGCTGAGGTTCTTGACCCTTCCTGATGATGCGGGGGGGGGGGGGGGGTTGAACCGGGGACCTTCTGCATGCCAAGCAGGTGCTCTGCCACTGAGCCATGGCTCTTCCCCAATAACAGAGAAGGGGGGAACCGTGTCTGCTATCCTAAGATCCTTGGAGGAAGGGAGCAACAGAAATTTGATAGAAAAGAGATTCAGACAGAGAACATTTGCATTCAGGGGTCAACATTAGTAAGTAACTGAACGACTCTCACCCAAACAATTTAAGTGTCCTTTGCATCCTTCGTCTTTCCACTTGGCCTGTCCTTGGCACAACCCCTTCCCTTGTCTTACATAGACCAAATCCTTGTGGGTCACAGACTCACAGCTCTCTTTCTCTCCCTCCATCTGGTGCAAAACACATCACCAAAACTTCCTAACAAGGTCCACCTGGTTCTGCGGTTGGGCTGTTTCTTTCATAAGAACATAAGAAGAGCCCTGCTGGATCAGAGCAGTGAGGGCCCATCTAGTCCAGCATCCTGTCCCACACAGTGGCCAACCAGTTCTTCAGGAGGGCCAACAACAGGGCAGAGAGGCCGAGGCCTTCATAAGAACATCAGAAGAGCCCTGCTGGGTCAGACCAGGGAGGGTCCATCTAGTCCAGCATCCTCCTGTCTCACACAGGGGCCAGCCAGTCCCTCTGGAGGGTCAACAACAGGGCAGAGAGGCCGAGGCCTTCCCCTGAGAAGAACATCAGAAGAACCCTGCTGGATCAGACCAGGGAAGGTCCATCTAGTCCAGCATCCTCCTGTCTCACACAGGGGCCAGCCAGTCCCTCTGGAGGGCCAGCAACAGGGCAGAGAGGCCGAGGCCTTCCCCTGAGAAGAACATCAGAAGAACCCTGCTGGATCAGACCAGGGAGGGTCCATCTAGTCCAGCATCCTCCTGTCTCACACAGGGGCCAGCCAGTCCCTCTGGAGGGCCAGCAACAGGGCAGAGAGGCCGAGGCCTTCCCCTGAAAAGAACATCAGAAGAGCCCTGCTGGATCAGACCAGGGAGGGTCCCTCTAGTCCAGCCTCCTGTCCCACACAGTGGCCAACCAGTTCCTCAGGAGGGCCAGCAACAGGGCAGAGAGGCTGAGGCCTTCAGAAGAGCCCTGCTGAATCAGACCAGTGTTCCATCTACTCCAGCCTCCTGTCTCACACAGTGGCCAGCCAGTTCCTCTGGAGGGCCAACAACAGGGCAGAGAGGCTAGGGCCTTCGCCTGATGTTGCCTCCTGGTTCTGGGATTCAGAGGATAAGTTCCTCTGAATGTGGAGGTTCCCTTTAGTCACCAGAGCTAGTAGCCACGGTAGCCTCTGACAGACCTTTCTCCATGAACCTATCTAACCCCCCTTTAAAGCTGTTTATTCCTGTGGCCATTACATCTCCTTCCTTCTGGGGCTGGCACACAAACCTCTCCCCCCCCCCTCTCAGGCTATGTTCATGCCCACTGTTCATGCCCACTGTTGCTTCCTCTGCCCGGCAGCCATGTGCCAGTGTCTCCAGCAGACCAGCGGCTTGTCCCCTCCCCTTCTGCCTGAAACCCCTGCTGGGGACTGACCCGGAATCCTTCTGTAGGCCAAGGAAGCCCCCGCCCCTTGCCCTTGCCGCTGGCCACGGAGGTGCCTCTTTTCAGGCCCTCTCATGGGAGCAGAGCCTTCAGGCGGCTTTCTCATCCTACCCGGGCACAGAGCCAGGACAGAGCCCACGATACCTACAGCCATATTCCACCTGGACGAGTCGGACGGTCTTGGTGGACGCAAAGACGTCGACCACGGCGTAGAGGGGGCGGGAAGCGGGGAGGCCCCTGGCACTGGGGCCCATGTCCTCCCCGTTGATGACCATGTGCATGTCGGCCGTCCCGTCGGGCTGCAGGGTGTAGAGCACCCCGATGCGGCTCCTCCTGGCCGTGGCAGGAAGCACGTTGCTCTTGTACAGGTCGTCCAGGATGTGGCTGTACCGGCCGGGCCTGCTCCGCCCCACCAGCTTGTCTCTGGGGATCCGGACTTGCTCGATGAGCAGATAGGGGTCTGCGAGGAAGCCCCGCACCCTGCCGGAGGCCTGCCCCGCAGCGGTGTCCGGAGTGACCCGGTTGTGGTTGCGGGTGATGGCAAAGACCCAGCTGTCACCCCGGTTGACCAGGTCGGGCAGGGAGTACTCGGGCACCACGTCCAGGCGGGAGGGGTCGCAGGCCATCAGGCCCACCCGCAGGTGCCCGCACCAGCCCAGCTCCTTCTCCTCGATCTCCAGCAGGAAGATCTGTCCCGGGGCCAGGGGCTCCTGGCTGAAGCACAGGCCGTTGGCAAAGCTCTCCACGCGAGTGGCCTGGGTACGGGAGGGATCCAAGCGGACGTTGGCCCCGTGGATGCGGTGGAACCTGCTCGACGGGTAGCAGGCGGCCGCCATCTCAGGCCGCTCTCCCAGAGGCAGAGCTGAGGCTATTTTTAAGTGGGCTCGGAGCAGCGGGGGCAGCTGCTGGCCTGGGACGCCTGCGGGAGGAAGGCCTGCTGGAACTGGCCAGGTCCTAGTGCCGGGTGGCTTCCATGGACCAAAGGGCTGGCTTGGGCCCTGCGCAAGGGCCCCGCCTTGCCAAACTTTGAGTTTAGCCAGATCTTTATATCCTGCATTTCAGCAGTGAGCCAGTTTGGTGTGAGAGCCAGTTTGGTGCCGTAGTTAAGTGCGCGGACTCTAATCTGGGAGAACCGGGTTTGATTCCCCCACTCCTCCTCCACTTGCACCTGGCTGGTGTGACCTTGGGCAAGCCACAGTTCTGTCAGAGCTGTTCTTGAAAAAGAGCAGTTTCTGTCAAGAGCTCTCTCAGCCCCACCTGCCTCACAGGGTGTCTGTGGTGGGGAGGGGAAGGGAAAGGAGATTGTAAACTGCTCTGAGACTCCTTTGGGTAGTGAAGGGCGGGGTATAAATCCATCATCATCCTTCTTCTTGAGAGCCAGTTTGGTGTGGTGGTTAAGTGCGCGCTCTAATCTGGGAGATCCGGGTTTGATTCCCCGTTCCTCCACTTGCACCTGGCTGGATGACCTTGGGCAAGCCGTAGTTCTGTCAGGGCTGTCCTTGAAAAAGAGCCATTTCTGTCAAGAGCTCTCTCAGCCCCACCTCCCTCACTGGGTGTCTGTTGTGGGGACTGCGGAGGGGAAAGGAGATGGTAAGCCACTCTGAGACTCCTTTGGGTAGTGAAGGGCGGGGGATAAATCCAATCTCCTCCTCCTCCTCCTCTTCTTCTTCTCACAAAGTTTGAAATACAGAGCAGAAAAACACTGTTTAAACCTTTGGAACTCCTTCCCCGGGGAAGTTCATCTGTCTCCTTCTGTTGGTGTCTTCCACCAGCGGATGAAGACCTTTTTGTTTTCTGTTTGCTTGGTTTTGGCTTTCCTCCAGTAACTGTTATGCAGCCTCCTCCCTGGTTCTGGGATTATGTGTTTTCATTGAATGACTTTATAGTTTTAAATATTGTTTTTAATAGTTCAAATGTTTTGATGCTTTGATGGGCGCCACCTTGGGGGACACTGATCAGGCGGAAAGGCAGCGTAATTTTTCTTTTTAAAGTATGACAGCTGTAAGACTCCTGAAACCAGAAATCCAAGAAGCAAATCCCACCCCCACCCCCAGTAGTTAAATATGAGCCTGGCAAAAAGAAAGTGTTTTCTCCCCCCCCCCCCAAAAAAAAAACACCAAAAGAGAAGGAATGTGCTCAGTGGGGGAGAGAGACCCAGAGCCGTAGTGCCACCACCAGAAAAGCCCTGCCATACGTCACCAGGGAGGCTTCGCCCGGAGAAGGCAGCTCAAGTCTCCAGGCCCCAAACTACTTGGAAGAGTAAAACCAGCACTTGGGACCAGGCCCGGAAACAAACCAGTGAAGCCGGATGCACAGTGGAGTCATATGATCAAAGTGCAGTCCCGCAGCCGCACTCTGAGCGACTGAAAAGCGCATCACATCCCGAAGGCGACCCAACCCCGTGTGACCCTGGATCTGGATGCCAGTATGGTACAGGTGGGCGCCATATGGTCTCTGAATATGCCCAGGGCCTGGGTGGGCAGATTCCTGCCCTTGGCCTTGCCTGGCCCACGGTGGTTTTGTGAGGAGTCATCAGCAGGATGAGCAGCGCTTTACGCACAACGAATGCCACCAGCACGATGGACTAACGACTCTTCGCTCCCACCTTGGTGGTGGAAGGTGCCACTGGATTGTTTTGGATTCCTAGCTATTGGGGGGGGGGAGTGCAGATCTGCCCTCACAGAGGAGGGAGAGCTTGTACCTGAACAAAACTTGGTCTTAAAGGTGCCACTGGACTGTTTTGGATTGCTAGCTATGGTGGGGGGGGAATGCGCAGATCTGCCCTCACAGAGGAGGGAGAGCTTGTACCTGAAGGGGTGGGGCTCTGCAACTTACCTGGCTGCTTCTTGTGGCCGGACTGAGGGCTGCTGGGAGCGGGGCTTCCTGCATGTGCCCGCCCCCTGGGCTCCTTACTGCCGGAGCTCCGCTCCTGTGCGCTCCTGCAGGAAATGACCCCTGCTACCGAGTAAGAGAGCAGGTCTTAGGGCATGTTGTCAGCAAGCTTTTTTCATCCCAGTCCTGCAGCGGATACCCTGAGTGACCAAAGGACAATGAGGCCTTTATATCTGGGCCCAAATTGTGACACAGAGAGGAGAGGGTCTGACAGAAACCCCCTCTTGAAGATGGCCAACATCGTGGGCAGCAGATACCCATGGGGCCGTGGGCTGGCGGGGGGTGGGGGACACTGAGATCTCAGGTGGGCTGCAGCCCTGGGAATGACCCATATGGGCCTCCATCCCTGCACCCACCATGGCCAAGGGTGGGTGGGTATAGACACCCAACAGTTTTTGCGTGCCGACAAGTCCTGAAGTAAGCCCAGCCATGAATTTTCTCCCCCAGCCCACCCCAGAAGCCAGATCCCTGGCTGGCAGGCTGTATGTGACTTCCAGGGCATCCTGAGGCTGTTGTTGTTGTTGGTTGGTTGGTTGGTTGTAGCAAAAACATATTATTCTGAAGTGACATTTCATGCTGTTGACTTGACGTTCCTTTCGGGAACATCTGAAGAGCCCTGCAGGACCAGGTGTGGCCCACGTGGTCTCATAGCCTGTTTCCCACAGTGGCAAAGCCCTAAAAGGCCTCCAAGCAGGGCCTGAAAAGCAATAGCCCTGCCCCCAGTCCACACACACACGCCAGCAACTGGCATTCATAGAATCATAGAATGTTAAGAGTTGGAAGGGACCTTGCAGGTCATCTAGTCCGACCCCCTGCACTCTGCAGGAACATAGCCGAAGGATAGCCCTACAACATACCCCAAAGATGGTCATCTTTCAGATACACTGCCCCTGACTATGGAGGTTTTGATTGACTTCTCCTCTTCCTTGAATTTGTCAGCTCCCCCTTTAAAGCATTTCAAGCCAGCAGCCGGAAGTACACTGTGTGGCAGTCAGTTGTGGTTCAGTGGAAGAACCTCTTCTCGGCATGCAGGAGGTCCCGGGTTCTATCCCAGGCAGCATCTCCAGTTGCAAGGGCCCGGCAGCAGGTGATGGGCAAGACCTTCCTCTGCCTGAGGCCGTGGAGAGCGGCTGCCCGACAGGGCGGACAAAAGTGACCTCAAAGGGCCAGTGGGCTCTGATTCAGTACAAGGAAGCTTCCTGTGTGTTCAGGAGTCCCAGCAAGATCGATTTGCGTGGGTCACCGTCTTGGTCGGAAGCAGTGGAACAAAATTATTTGTGGGTGCGCACAGGGAAGCTTGCACCCAAAATTGAACCACTTTGTCAGTCTCAAGGTGCCTGACTGGACTCCAATCAGTTCCAGCGCCAGTAGAAGGATGCACAGCCTGAAGAAGTACCTCCCCTCGTTCCTACAGGCTGGGAGTAGGGGGGAAACGGGCTGGGCTCCTAAGAGGAAGGCTCCCTCTAAGCTGTGCAGTCCTGTGAGCAAAAATCCTACTTTGTGAGCTGCTTCTGGCATGAAAGTTGTGGGCGAGCGATTGGGCTGCTCCATAGATTAGTTGGCTCTGGAGTCCCATCCTTCCCGAGCGGAGACGAAAATGTGTGAGCCGGAGGCTAAAAAAACGGTGAGCCAGCTCACACTCACTCAGCTTAGAGGGAACACTGGATCCGAGTCCCCTGCCCGAAGGGCTGCTTACGTCGCTTTGTCGGAACCCGGCCCTCCTCGTGGCTGCCTTTTTGCCGGTGGCCCCCGTCCGGAGAGGGGCCACCACCAGGCTGCGCTCTTCCCCCCCGGAGAGGGACTCGGCGACCCGCCAGTTGGGCGAGCGGAGGGGCTTCGTTCCCCCC